ACGGGTGGCGGCCCTGGCCCAGATCCTCGGGCAGGTGGTGAGCACCTGGGCCCTACGAGCGATTGACAAAGAAATCGGGCCAAAACGAGTGACGTGTGATAGGGGGTGATTTGAACGCGCTGAGAAAGGGTGCTAAACGCCGAGGGTGATTTCCACGATTATCGCCCAATTTCCTATCACGCGAGAATTTCAAAACACGCTTCGCAACGTTTTCCATATGTAAACTTTTAATTCTTTTTAACTGAGATTCGTGTGACATTCCAAATACGTTTAAGAACGAAATTATCTCGAAATGTGAGTCTTGGAGGAAAATTATTCAAATAAATTGAATAATAGAAAGACGAAACTTCATTCATTTTCATCAACGACATTGTCAAGTGTTTTTCAATGTGTAAATTTAAGCTGTTCGCAGATGATTTAAAGATCTATAGAGTAATTAAGTCATTAGAAGACTGTGATATTGTTCAATCTGAACTGAACAACATAATCAATTGGTGTGATAAAAATAATTCGTACCTGAACATTAACAAATGCCAAATTATACGCTTTCATAGAAATCCTAATCCAATTATATTTAGTTATAATATTTATGATATATATTTAAATGAGCAAAAATCAATAAAAGATTTAGGCATCATCTTTGACACAACTCTATCTTTTACTGATCATATAGATGCAATTGTAAATAAAGGCGTAAAACTGATAGAATTCTTACAAAGAAACTCCAAGGATTTCAACAATGTAAATTGTATAAAAATTCTATACTTTTCAATTATTCGTTCTATTCTTGAGTTCAACTCTTCAGTTTGGTCTCCAAGTTATTTCAAATACATCAGTAAACTTGAAAATGTTCAAAATAAGTTTTTAAGATTCTTAGCCTATAAATTATACTTAAACTTAGACTATATAAATTATGATGAACTAAGAGCTGAAAAAATAAACATTCAGGGTGACCTTCAATGAACTTGTCTCGCCACCATGTAAAATTCCTGCTGGAGTTCCACAAGGTTAGGATCTAGGGCCAACCTTGTTCAATATATTTTTGAATGCACTCCCTAGGCTAGGCTGTGTTCGTAAGGATATGTTGATGACATAGCATTATACTGTTCATCGTGGAGGGTAATTAGTAATTATTTATTAACTTGCTTATTTATTATATTAGTTATTACTAAAGTAAATGTTTTTTTTTTTACGAGGATTCGCAACAGCAGAGGTCATATAAACCCTCAGGGTGCCGGTGTTTTTGAAAAAAAAGCCCATTTGTAAGTATGTCGGGTTCGAATGCAGGGCCGCTGGATTCGAACCCGGGACCTTTACCTTACAGTGATGAGTGCCGTGTCAAAGACTAAACCTTGCGGCCACCGACGCCCCCCAAAATGTGTTGTTATCAAACTTATCGATTGTACATGTCTAATCAATGATTTATAATTTATAATACATGTAATTATTAATAATTTCCTTATTTATTAATTTATTAATGTAAATGGTTATCTCTTGATGTAAATGTGTAAATGTTTAACTTAGACAACATACAATTCTAGTACAAAGGCGCTATGTCGTAACCCTTATATTTCTTTAATCTTACTGCAAGTGGTTTTCAATAATTTTTCACCAGTGTTCTTTATTTCTTTTGGCCAAATTAGCAAAAATTGTAAATATTCTTAAGCCATCTGCCACAACTATGTATAATGTCCAAGATATTTCTCCTTTTATTTCACTTTTTTACAAAATGTATGTAAAATTATCGATTAAATAAATAAACAATACAATACAACTAAGGGCTGTGATGGAAATTATTCCCCTTAAAATAAGAAGAGATATTTATGATGTTATATTTTTATATAAATTGTTAAATTTTATTATAGACCTAAGTTTCTGCAACGAGTTTATTTCAACGTTCCTTTGAAATTAACTAGACATAAAAATTTATTTTCTATCCCTTTCTGTAATTCTAACTATTTATTCTCAGCAGGTATTATCAGAGCATATATTCTCATGAATTCAGTAGGGATGGATCTATTCTGTAATAGCTTAAAAAACTTTAAAAATAAAATTAAATCCGCTTTGAGTGTTTCTCCAACAGGAACGATGTATTGCATGTTATGTATTTTTATGCGATGAAAAATGGCTAAAGCCGTGAATAAAGATTATTATTATTATTTTTACGAGGGTTCGCAATAGTCGAGGTCGTATTTACTCTCAGGGTGCCGGTGTTTTTGAAAAAAGCCCATTTGTATGTACGTCGGGCTCGCATGCTGCGCCGCTGGATTCGAACCCGGGACCTTTACCTTACAGTGATGAGCGCCGTGTAAACGTCTAAACCGTTGCGGCCACCGACGCCCCCTAAGAAAAAAAAGAAAGATTAGTATTATTCAATTAATTAAGGTTTTGGTTGAAATTAAAAAGTCAGTGTCACGAGCGGGATTCGAACCCACGTCCTTCGGCTTGATACGGCGATACTCTGATCTCAACCTCACCTTTTGAATTTTCCCTCCTTTTTGCCATTTTTCAAATGTCGTGTAATCAATTTGATTCTCGGCGACAAATGAAATGGCCACGGAGAGCTTTAGTGAAGTATACTTCATTTCACCTTATTAAATTCATTAGTTTTCGTGGTCCGCTTAGATGGTAAGTAAGTGCCTGGGTGGATCGAAGTCACGATAGCTCAAGTGGCAGAGTAGCGGCGTATCAAGTCGAAGGTCGTGGGTTCGAATCCCGCTCGTGACACTGACTTTTTTATCCCAACTAAAAACCTTAATTAATTGAATGATATTTATTGGTCAAGCGGACCACGAAAACTAGTGAATTATTATTATTAATTGTTCATCTAAGTTGATATTTTACTCCCCTAATTACAAATGTATTTACTTTATACTATTTACTAGAAAGTGAAGAAATCACCGAGTTATCCGTCTAGTAGACACTCAGTTTCACTCGGAATCGCAAGAAGAAGCATGACGGCGTGTTTTGGCAACTACGGCACGGAAGACTGGGAAACTATTAAAATTCATAGATTATTTAGAAATTACCGGTCAGTACTACACAGTGTATATAATAGTTCTTAAATGAAATTTCACCCTTTAGTATTTGTTGAACTTGGTATACTATTTGAACAAAAACTGAATGAGTGTAATTGTGCAAATAAAAAAGTTTCTAAAAAATTTCAGAATCTGCTTGATCTGAACTCTAAAAATAAGGAAATAATGCGTGATTCAAGTTAATTATGGGGATATGCGTCCAAATTTGGTCCATAAAGGTTTACGTAATATAGTTATATTCAGGATAAAAAAATGTTTTAAGAATATGCAAATAAACTTGAAGTGATATAATTGTGAGTGATAGTCAGCTGTGAACCAAAAAACAGTACATCGTTCTCAGTCTGTCCTCTGACAAACTATCTGGAAGTTTTATTTGTATACACAGTCTGTAATAATTATCATGGTTGCTGTTCATTAATTTTCAATTACGGACAAATGTCTATTGTAGAGCTATAGACTTACAGCGCAAACCGAAAAAAAGGAGAAGCAGGTGTCTCGGAAGAAAGTTCCGATTTGTTACCGGTCGGCGGTAGTTCCAATTTTGCCAGCAACTTCTCCCAGGAGCAGGTGCGTTCCTCTTTTCGTTCTTGTCCTAAACGAATATGTTTTCTGTCCGGTTTCCCCGTTTACATCTCATTCGGCCGGCCGTAAATCAACGCGATCATCCAAATGTGTCGCGCATCTTTGTTTTAGCCCCCGTGTCATGGAATCCAGTCGCTCCGGTCGATGTCGTAAATGACGTTTTCGGTCACTCCAATAAACGGAGAAGAAAAAAACGAATACACCTCCAGTTTCGACCGGACCCATACACCAGTAATATTTTATAGAGAATCACCGTTTTTCTTGCATAGCATCATCTCCTAACACAAGGTCTATTATACTGAAGTCATAATTTTTAACCACGCTAATTTTGTGATTTTTTTTATTTTGAGAAATAAGCTTGTTTTGGGATATATGAGCATAGTGGTTTGAGTATTTTCAACTTGGTTTCCATTATTAATTATTAAAAATTACTATTGAGATTCAAAAAGATATTCGCGCTAATTTAAAGAAACGTCTTGTTAATTAACTTTTACATAATTAACTGGACCCGATCATTGATTAGTGATATAACCTAGCGGGTGAAGGTGTAATGTTAAGTGTATGCTTCACAGGAAAGAATAATTACAAAGGAAAACGTGACAGTGATTTTCCCCCTAGGTCCCGTTTTGATAGGAAGAAATGACATTTTCAATGCAAATCGTCCAAGGTGCTTTTCCTGGGTGGCAGGTGTTTTCTGGGCAGATGTATGTATCCACCTGCCGTTTCTCTCTCTTTCCTTCCACTACTCCGGCTATCGGCTCTCTTCGTCTTCGGATTAATTAGGATAATGAGAAAGTTCATGTCGGCACGAGCCCGCCTGGCCGTTGTTTCTTCCCTTCTTAGGCAGACACCGGCGGCTCATTTTTTTTCTTCATGCCATTTTCTGGCGTTTTTCAAGAATTTATCGCCACTGGATATCAGGCTCAGTATAAAACCCGATGAGTAACATTTCTGTCATGTTTTTTATATACACGTCAAATATTTTATACATGTACAAAAGCAAAGACGAGGTACATTAGCGTTATTCTCGAAAGACGCCCGAGCTACACGAACTAGAAATGTAAAGGAAAATAAGCAAAGTTTTTTAAAAACATTTTTCAATTGATCCCCAAGTGAAAAATTAGGTCCATTCCATCCAAGAAAATCTTGCTAAAGAACACTGATTAATGTATAAGAATTTTTGTTCAAGATATTCCAATTTGTATGATTTCCTTTCCTAATTTGTTTAAACGCAAATAAACGTTTTGTAATTGTTATACAACAAAGTTTGTCAATATTTATCAAAATATTTAAAAAATTAATAATTATGTAACAATTAATAATAATCTAATAATGATCGAATCTTTATATGCCATCTGAGCGAAAAACAGCTGTAAGTTTTTTAGGTGTTATTTTTTTTAACACAATAAAACAATATCATTTTAAATTATGATATTTTCCTATGTATTTTCTGAGTGATGTACTTGTAATTTATGATCTAACATCTTGGCCTTCCTATCCTGGACAGACATACTGAAGATCCTCTGACAGACCAACCCAGTGAGTATAGTGAGGCCAGACGATCGGTAATGACCAAATTTCAATTAACAATACAATAAATATATTAGAAATAAATAAATAAATATATATATATAATTTGGCAAAATATGTGCATTGATTTTACACTTTCAAGTACAAACATTGGTCCATTATTATGATTTTGCAACAACAACCTACTTTTCTAAAGTTTATTTATTTAGAAATCGTGAGATCCGGTCTGGTGTGATGTAGGTTTCAGAAAAACATTTTGTTTATCGTGCCAACGTTTCGATCTTTATTGAGATCATCTTCAGGGCTCAAAGTGTTTGTTTTCCGTGTAGATGTGTCATTCGTGCCCCACTCTGGGCTCTCGCGACAGGACACCCAAGAATGACACAATTACACAGAAGACAAACACTTTGAGCCCTGAAGATGATCTCAATAAAGATCGAAACGTTGGCACAATAAAGAAAATGTTTTTCTGAAACCTACATCACACCAGACCGCATCTCACGATTTCTGAATAATTATCGATTAACGGTCACTAATGACCACACATTTCTACGTTTTTTCACGTGTTTTCTTATATATTTTTTTATTATTAAACAATATCATTTTAAACCATGAGATTTCTTTAGTTTTGTGCGTCGTAATGAACCTGTAATTAATCATCAATACGGAACATTGGTCTGTCTATCCTGAAGGCACACACTGAAGATGGCGAAATGCCGAAACCCAGTCTGACAGAACAACCCAGTGACGATAGTGAAACCAGGCGATCGGTAATGACCAAATTTCAATTCACAATACAATAAATATGTTATAAATAAGTATATACATATGTATTGGCATAATTTATGCACCGATTTTACACTTATCAAATACAATCACTGGTCCATTATTATGTTCTAGCAGCAACAACCTACTTTTATTTATTCAGAAATCGTGAGATGCGGTCTGGTGTGATGTAGGTTTCAGAAAAAAAGGCACTCTCAACACGACACGCAAGAATGGCACAATTACACAGAAGACAAACACTTTGAGCCCTGAAGATGATCTCAATAAAGATCGAAACGTTGGCACGATATAAAAAATGTTTTCCTGAAACCTACATCACACCAGACCGCATCTCACGATTTTTGAATAATTATCGATTAACTGTCACTAATCACCACACATTACTTACTTTTTTATAGTCGCATATGTTTCTCGTGATTGGGTTTTTTGAGTACCCATTGATCAATTGTAAACCTGGGATTATGCAGTAATTGATTATTAATTTATGTTATATAAAAAGAAAAATGTTTCGCTTTCAAGGAAGGAGGTTGTGAGGGATTCTGTTCACTACCTAACGTGTTTCGTTTTATAACATTTATGTTTCATTTTTTACTTTATAAAAAAATAAACAAATGGACCTGATTATTCATCTATCTCGATATATCTATTCAGATAAGCAATAGATAGATAAATCAGCAATTTTTATATCTTGAAGTATAAATATATGGTAATGATGATAATTTGTTTGTGTGTTTGTATGTTTGTATGTGTGTGTTGCGTGTGGTCGCGGGCGCGTGTCGGTGAGTGTGCCGCGAGAAATTGGCACAAAATTTCCTCGTTAGGGGTTCGCGATTCTGGTAGAAAAAGTCGTTTAAGCATACAAAGGCCGGGGCTGACGTTCGCTAATTAAGAGAAAGCGGAGACGCCGTTTTCAAGCGCGCCGCTCCTGGTTTTGACGTGTGAGATGGAATCTAGTAATTGGCGAGATTTTTGTTCGGATTCCGATGGAAATGCCGGCATTTCGGCCACGATTTGTGGAAATATCGGAAACCGTTTTGCCGGGCTATTTTACTCTTTCTCCGAACATTCTTTCGTCGGAAGGAGGAAACTCGTGAGATGTCCAATAACTTATTGGATCCTATCGGTTAGATCAATGTTATCACCTCTGCCTGAGTTATGTAAGTGGACGCCATATTTAAAAGGTAGCTCATTAACACGGCGTTCGAATAAAGTGTAGAGACGGTAGATGCTCGTGAAGATTTTACACACGTATACACGACGGATTTCTTAGGTCAAAACGTGAACAATTAATTTTCATGCCCTTCCGAAAGCCGTCCGTTCTACCACAGAACGAAAATTAATAACATTGTAAAAGGTTTGTCGCTTTACGAGGCCAACGATCTTATTTATAAATAAGGTTCTCTTTATCTAAGTTCATTATTCGGCGCCGGACCTAAACAAAATAAAAAAATGTCTTTTCTTCTATTTTGCCTTTTTGCGTAGAGATTTAATGACTACGTAAAAACCCTAAATTATGGCCAAGTATTAGCTCAGGTGCCTATCTTGGCGTTGAAATAAAAGAAAATTTACGGCGTTATTTGATTTATATGTTAGTATTGGGCAAATTAAGCCCGACGCCTTGTTTAGTCGAAATTGCGCGTGCTCGTTTTGGCCAACACCCAAAAACCCAAAAAGGTTTTTGAGAACCCAAAAAGAAAATTGAGCGATAAAGGTAAAAGTATAATTGGAAAAGGAAATTGACCAGTTTTTATAATTTGGCTGTTGGATTCTTTTCATCTCCATAATAAAACCTTTAAACACTGAGGATGGTACACACGCCTGAATATGTATTGTAAATGTCTCATTTGAAAAAAGCTTAGTCAACTCAGAAGAATACCCAGACAATGGATTAAATTTCGTTTTAATTTAATTAAATTAAATAGGTTTATGCAACATCAAATTAGGTCCTCAGATGTACTACAAAATAAATCTTATAGATGAATATTTTAAAACAAAATAAAATTAAAACAATAAAATGAAACTAAGTAAATGCATATTTTTTAAATAACGCAAGATAAACCCATATAAAAATAGTTATTCAGATATCGTGAGATGCGGTCGGGTGTGATGTAGGTTTCAGAAAAACATTTTCTTTATCGTGCCAACGTTTCGATCTTTTATTGAGATCATCTTCAGGGCCTGGGATTTACAAACAATGTTTACGTTTAACAATTACATTTAGGATGTGAAAAAGTGAATTTATAAAATGCAAAATATATTTTATATTCAAACAAAGTATTCCTACTCAGTCAAACTGTTTGTCTTCTATGAAATTTAACTTAACTTTACACAGAAGACAAACACTTTGAGTGAGTAGAAATACTTTGTTTCAATATAAAATATATTTTGCATTGTATAAATTCACTTTTCAACATCCTAAATGTAATTGTTAAATCCCAGGCCCTGAAGATGATCTCAATAAAAGATCGAAACGTTGGCACGATAAAGAAATTGTTTTTCTGAAACCTACATCACACCCGACCGCATCTCACGATATCTGAATAACTATCGATTAACGGTCACTAATCTCTACTCATACAAAAATATTTTTGAAAAATGGCAAAAAGAAAAATTCGAAAGGTAGGTTGAGATGTGGGGTTGGTGTCCGGGTGGATCGAAGTCACGATAGCTCAGGTGGTGAGAGCAACGAAGGTCCCGTAAGCCGAAGGTCGAACTTTACATAGAACGATTAATTAATTGAAAGAAGTAATTTGGTCAATAGGACCACGAAATTTAATGGATTTAATAAGTAAAACGAAGTATAGCTCACTAACAACTCCTCGTGGCCACTTCATATGTCGCTGAGAATCGAATCCGGATTACACGACATTTGAAAAATGGCAAAAAGGAGGATAAATTCAAAAGGTAGGTTGAGATGGGAAGTTGGTGTCCGAGTGGATCGAAGTCACGATAGCTCTAGTGTAGAGCAGTGGCGTATTTAGCCGAAGATCGTGGGTTCGAATCCCACTGGTGACACTGACTTTTTTTATTTTAACCAATACCTTACATAAAAATTATTTAATTGGAAGAAGACATTTCGTCAATCGGACCACGAAATATAATGGACCTATTTATTTACATTATTTATAACAATAAATCTATTATCTTACCTATCCTTAATACATAAATGTGTGATGATTAGTGACCGTTAATCGATATTTATTTAGAAATCGTGAGATGCGGTCTGGTGTGATGTAGGTTTCAGAAAAACATTTACTTTACATTAATCCAAATTACATTGTTATATGTAAACAATGTTTTTAAATCCTAGGCCCTGAAGAAGATCTCAACAAAACTCGAAACGTTGGCACGATAAAGAAAATGTTTTTCTGAAACCTACATCACACCAGACCGCATCTCACGATTTCTAAATAAAAATTAATACATAAATTTTAAATTAATTAATTAATCATTTTATCCAAAGCGAGGTTGAGGTGACAAATTACAAGCGGGAATCGAATCCAAGACATCCGCATTACTCAGGTGCTACTGCTTGAGCTGTCGTTAGTTAGGACCTTCGAGACACCAATTCCTCATTTCAACCTACAACTATTTATATACACATATCCCTTTCTTCGCCAACATCTCTCATAAAATAATTAATTTATGAAAAAATCTATGAAAGATTTTTTACTAAAATATTACACCTTATAGTAATAAAGGATTGGGGGATTTGCAAAAAAATGTAAACAGGTATCTAACGTAAAGTGCTTAAAGCGCACGTCAAGTTTACTCCGTTAAGTCATTGCTTGTAATTCAATTTAAGCATGGTCTTTAGCCTACTAATTACTTTCTCAATACGAAATTTAATATTTCAAGCCAAGTTATGGATAAATCAGGAGTTAGAACAACAAGAGCACAATCAAATAATTTTGATAGAAGTTCTAATCGATATAAAAATAAGCAAGTTTAGAACAGTGGCAAACATCATAAAAATATCTCAATAAATTTTACTCTGTAGTTGCCCCAAATTAGTATAAATCTATCTAAATTCATTTAAAAAACTTGTCTTAACAGGTTGAATTTTATTTGTTCCTGATTTGAAAACAATATTTTCTCTAAGAGAGTTTGAAAATAAAATTTTACATATGTTAAACTAATTTGCAATTGAATTTTGATATGGAATAGCGGCGTTTTTATGGTAAGGTCGAGCTGGTAATTGTAAGATAAATTGATATTCTCTTTTCACAACTTTTTGTCTGAATTTGAATAATTAAATTTTATATGTAAAATGTCTAGAATTGCATGAAGTTATTATTGACGGTTCATGTTTAATTGGTGTTTTCCTATTTTCAGTTTGTCGAGCACGTTAACAGTTATGGATCGTTAATTTGAGTTTTGTCATATTTTTTCCCATCTGCTCTACGTCCGAACATGCGATGTCACCCCTTTCTGACTCGCATCTCATCATCGCCGACCTAGGATAAACTTTAACTGTTCTCATAATGAGTGGATGCGGAAGCTGTCTTTTTTTTTCCCGAACGCGCCCGCCCCACCAAGTCAAAGAAGCCGGGTGTTTCTTTGTAGCAGGTGCACCAAGGAACTCTCTCTGATCTTTTGAGATCGGTTATCGTTTTTTCGCTTCTTTTTCTCCACTTGAATATCCAGTTTTCATTAAAATATCAATCCCTGATCTATACGAAAGCAATATAAGATCCTGAATAGTTTTCGCTAGTAGTTAATCACATCCTCACTTTAATAATCTTGAGTGATTCGTAATTTCATTTGAGAATTTGAGAACGGAAAAAGAAAACCCACCAAACATATTTTCTTTTTTAAATCTGTATCGTTATAAATACTCTTATCCTGCTAAAGACAACTTTATGATGCTATTGTTCATATAGGTAATACAAATCCGTCAGTACATTTACATTAAAGCCAATTAATTACAATAAAGCGCGCGCGCGCACACACACACACACACACACACACACACACAACAGTCTGAGAAAGAGAAAGAAAGAGAGAGAGAGAGAGAGAGAGAGAGAGAGAGAGAGAGAGAGAGAGAGAGAGAATTGAATTGAATATTTATAATTTTAATAAATCGTCTAATTTTTAAAATGGATAAATTCTAGAACCATATTGTAGATTACGAATATAGCGAATACACATATTTATAGTAACATGTAACTTATGAAGATTTTTACTCGAAAGATTAGAAATTACTGCAAAATCATAAGTTATATTTGGAAGCATTACATTATGCAGTAACGCTTCCAAATATAACTTATGGTTTTGCAATAATTTCTAATCTTTCGAGTAAAAATCTTCATAAGTTATATGTTACTAGAAATATAAAGCTTTAGCCTCCTGGATATATTATTAAAATTAAATAACGTTTTTTTATTGACATTGTTGTTTAATTGACATTGAAAGAGAGAGAGGGAAAGAGGGTGAGAGTGAGAGAGAGTGAGCATGAAAGAAGGACGGATAGAAAGCGTTAAAGTTAGTGTGAGAGTGAGCGAATGATTAAAGGAGAGACAGAAAGAAAGAAAATGGGCGAGAGTGAAATAGGGAGAGAAAGAGAAAGATCGTAAGAGACAGAGAGAGAGAGTGAGAGAGATACTGCATGAAAGAGGGACGGATAGAAAGAGATGAGTTAGTGAGAGGGTGAATGAGTGATTAAGGGAGGAATAGAAAGAGAGAAAATGAGCGAGAGTGAAATAAGGAGAGAGTGAGAGAAAGAAGAATGAAAGAGAAAGATATAAAGAGACGTACAGAGGGAGAGTGAGAGAGTGAGAAAGATAGAGCAGGAAAGAAAGACCGATAGAAAGAGATAGAGTTAGTGTGAGAGTGAGTGAGGGATTAAGAAAGGAATAGAAAGAGAGAAAATGAGCGAGAGTGAAATAAGAAGAGAGTGAGAGAGAGAAGAGAGAAAGAGAAAGAGAGTAAGAGAGAGACAGAGATAGTGAGAGAGATAGAGCATGAAAGAGGAAGGGATAGAGTGAGAAAGGGGGAAAGAGTGAGAGTGAGCGAATGATAGAAAGAGGGAGAGAAAGAAAGAGAGAGAGAGAGAGAGAGAGAGAGATAGAGATAGAGAGAGAGAGAGAGAGTGAGTGAGTGAGAGTGACAAAGACAGAGGGAGACAGACAGACACACGTACAAGCGCGCGCGCACTCACACACTTTAAATTTTTAGTTTTTGAAGTGAAAATGGCTGGTAGGAAAAGTATAAAACTTTTTTTTTCTATTTTGTCATCACGTGGAACTTTTCTAAACTAGAACACATTACAATTAATTAAGGTTTTTAGTTGAGATAAAAAAGTCAATGGCACGAGCGGGATTCGAACCCACGATCTTCGGCTAGATACGCTAGATTACACGACATTTGAAAAATGGCAAAGAGGAGGGAAAATTCAAAAAAGTGGGGTTGAGATGGGAAGTTAGTGACCGAGTGGATCGAGGTCACGATAGCTCAAGTGGTTGAGCAGCTGCGTATCTAGCCGAAGATCGTGGGTTCGAATCCCGCTCGTGCCATTGACTTTTTTATCTCAATAAAAACCTTAATTAATTGTAATGTATTAATTGGTCAAGCGGACCACAAAATTAGTGAATTTAATGGACTAGAACACATTGTATAATTTTTGTCTTATGTATGATTTCTTAACTTTTTAACCTTTTACAAATGGTTTGCAGTCTTAAAAGTTCAATTTTATGATGTAACTTAATTTTTTCTATTGATAAATTACAATTTTTTGCCACTTGTTTGCAGTTACAATTAACGCTATTAACTGGAGCAATGTTAAAATAAAATATTTTTATGGTCTCACTCTATTAATCTATTAGAGGGTCATTGTAGTCTAGACACGTAGATGATGTGAATTTGTTATGTAATTCACTGAAGAAGACCTTGCCAAGTAACCTAAATGTTACATACATTAGCATTAAGTTAATTTTATAAAGTAAGCAATGCCGGCTGCGGGAGAAAAATAAACATTATAAATGAGTGTACAGTGCGTAATTGATCACAATCTCAAAATTACTGAAAGGCACGCCATGGAAAATACATGACGTGCAGAATGTGAAACTTGTACATTCTGAAGGCTTGCAACTACATCCATTTAGAAAATATCAAATAAATAGCAATGTTTTAGCAGGAGAATTAATAATGAAAGTATCCCGAAAGCGGTTTTGGGCTTGGAGAATTCCTCGACGCTCATTATAAATCTGTGGGCAATTTCTAGTTCATTGCCTTGATTTTTAAATTGAACCGTTTTTTTGTCGGATAAAATGAAACAAATATTGATATTCTTGAAGAAAAAATACTTTTACTCTTTTAGCATATAAGCATAATTTGTTTTCTATATGTAATCTTTATATTTGTCCTGGCGGACACCACTTTTCTAACAATTTCATGTAACGGTAGCCATTTTCGATCAGTCTTGCCTATATTAGTGTGTATATGTCTTTCTTGTACCTACGAAAAATCGTTGTCTAAATGGAAAATTGTGCTTCAGCGACGAAAACGGCGAATATGGACCAGAATAATAGGTAAAGATGAGATAAACACTATAGAGACATAGCTAAGGTAGTTAAAGAAGAACATTGATTTACAGCGTTAACCTTTTCTGAAATTTTATTTTTATAGTCGGATCCACGAATAAAAACCAGTTATTCCTGGGAGTTTCCAATCCTCCTATTTTCTTGGCCTGACGAAAGCGCGAGACAAAACGTATTTGTTGAAGAAAAGTTGAGAATTTCTTGAACAACCATAAACTCGAGAGAATTTGCTTAAAAATATTACACTTTATTGAACAATTAATTGGTTCAATGGATAAATGACACTTGCACTCGTTTACCACACGCATTGAAATCGCCGGTGAACATCTCATTACGGGCCAGAATTTGACTCTCTTTCACTAAATCATCGTTCCTGGTTCCCTGTAATTACAAGAGATTCAGAATGATCGCTTTCTGGCCCCTTGACGGATACCCACCTGCCGGCCGAAACTCCCGTCACTTCCATATCCAGGGTAAAGTCTCCAGTCCAAACAACTTTTTATACGGGTTAATAACGTTAATAATGCTCGGAGGAATTAAATAATTATTTCTTACAAAATTGACGCTAATGCACGGCAATGACTGCCTGCGGAGGACGGCGTTGCGCAACTGAACTGGAAAATTGAGACGATTCACTCGAGTTCGTAAAACGATAAAATATTAAAACATTTGTAATTAAAACTATTTCACAAGAAGAATTATTTATTGGTAAAAAAAATCCTATTTTATCGGACTGGCCTGTACCATCAGAAACCAACTTCAAACATTTCCAGGCATTTATCATATCGAAGTTAAACATGTTTAGGTACTTCATGCATAATTATTTTTGGAAAATTTCCTGTTAACGATTTATCCTTAGCTCGACTGTAAATAATGTGTATAATCCATTTATGGTTGAATGGTCAGTTGACCAAGTTCTTTCAATCAATTATTGTTTTTAAGTAAGGTTTTGGTTGAGATAAAAAGTCAGTGTCAAAAGCGGGATTCGAACCCATGAACATCGGCTAAATACGCTGCTGCTCTGCCACTCGAGCTATCGACTTCGATCCTCTCGGACACCAACTCTCCATCTCAACCTACAACCGTTTGAATTTTCCCTGTTTTGTCATTTTCAAAACCTTACATAAAAAGAATAATTAATTGAAAGAAGTAACTTGGTCAACTGAACACTAAAACGTAAATGGATTAATTTGTAATAAGTGTTAAGAACACTTCACTAACAGCACGGGGAGCTTCAATTCATAAGTCGCTGAGAATCGAATCCTGATTACACGACATTTGAAAATGGCCAAAAAGGGAAAATCCAAACGGCTGTACGTTGAGATGGAGAGTTGGTGTCCGAGAGGATCGAATTCACGATAGCTCGAATGGTAAAGTAGCGGCGTATTTAGCCGAAGGTCGTGGGTTCGAATCCCGCTCGAGACACTGACTTTTTTTATTTCAACCAAAACCTTACATAAAAACAATAATTAATTGAATGTGTATAATAATTATTTGTAACGTATCACAAGAGGTTAGGTATAATTACAACAATAACCTAGATCATTTGAAAAATCATTATTTTAGTAAAACCTAACACGTCCAAATAAAGGAACTATTATTAAGATCCAAATTAATCGACGAAGTAAGTCTACGTAAAGCGAAAACTACAATTTTCCTTAAAAAAATCTTCATGACTTTCACGACGCAAGCCGGCTGTGCATGTCATTATCATGCATTATAAATAGGAAAATTTACCCAAACTGAGACTAGTTAGAACATGGAGAAAGATAAAATACATCCTTTGTTATGAATACAATCTAAAAACATGATAAAATCTCGGAAAATTATTATAAAAAAAAAAAATTAAGTGTCTATACACGATCCAGTATAGTTGTATTTGGCAAAAAATGTTTTTAAGTTTAACATTGTTTTCAATTGCGTCTTCGTTTTATTTCTTACTTTTTATTCTTCTATCTTTCTCTGAATTACTTGTTAATATTGTTATTAACTTATTATACATATTAACTGAAGGACAATCAATAGGAAGTGCGTCGGTGCCCGCAACGGTTTAGGCATCGACAGGCGTCATCACTGTAAGGTAAAGGTCCAGGGTTCGAATCCAGCGGTCCTGCATTCGAACCCGACATACTTACAAATTTTTTTTTTTTCCAAA